GTGCTTAGGATCTAGACTCTATTTTACTTTAAATGAAAAATATGCCAAGTTGTTCTTTTGAAGAAATTTTCCACAACAAATCGTCCCACTGTTCTGACCAGTAGTACTCTGAAACAATCAGTAGGCGATGTGAAACTCATCTTGGAAGAACAAAACTGCTTGTGGATACCGAATACAAAAATCTTTACAGCGTCACTGTTGCCACGTTTGTGTGAATTGGTAGATCCAGATTTAATTTTGTGGCATTTTAAAACCTTTAATGAAGATTTGGTTTTTACCATTCCACCAGCGCTCAGCCAGGTAGACATCGAAAATAACAATTTTAAATAACCTTTAACCTGCAATTAGTTCACATTCTATGATTCTCACTCTGTAATTTTTTAGTATTTTTTACAGGTATTTACCAGCATCGTAAATATCTATTATTTTATTAAAATAAATGTTTCTTTTATTTTAAATTCAGATTTAAATGTTTTCAACATATCCCAACACTCCGTAATTAGTAATGTGACAGTTGTTTGTTAACAAAACCGTACAAGAGAACCAGGTGAAAAACCATTATGCTCTTCAAAGTCGGAGCCCGTTTAGAGACAGCTAGTGACCTCTTTATGCATTTCCCTAAGCTCCTCATGTATATCTGATGGGAACAGATGACGCTGACACTTTCGTTACTCATTTGATACAAATCAGTTACCAAGTACATTGATTAAATCCAAGTAAAAGTAACAGTCAGGGAATAGCAACTGTACGAAGACTTTGAACCAGTCAAATACTTAGTTAAAGTTTACATTCATAGAATGCGCTAAATGCGTTCACTTACTGGAAACTTCTTCGTTAAAAATTAACATAAAATTATTTCAAAATAAATTGTGTATTATTATCATCTTAAATGATCCTTTTAACACGAATGCAATAGCTACCAAATTCAACACAATTAATCGTAGTCGATAATGGTAAAAGCCTAGTTATTTGTTTTCAACTTTTTGAACAGCTGGCATTACCGTATGATGTGTTGAGAACATTGTTTGCCAAATATTGGAATTACACTTATAATAAATAGTTAATAGTGGGAAAAGTGAGTATAAATGAAGATGATAAAGTAGTGTTTGAGAGAATAGTGAAACCTAAGTCTAGAGAGGCGTTTCTAATTTGCAGACCACAGTTTATCTTGCAGACTGGGGGTTAAAAATGCTCCAATCAAGTTAAAACTCGATATTTGCTTATTTCTCAATACGAAGATTGTTAATACAAAATTTCAACCCGATCGGAGAAACCGTAAAAAACTACCCCTAAAACAACCTTGCAGACTAGGGCTTAAAAATACTCTGCTCAAGTAAAATTTTGACAGTCCCTAGTTTTTTAATACGAGGATTATTGATGCAAAATTTCAGCCCATTCGGAGAAACCCTCAAAAATCACCCCTAAAACAACCTTCCAGACTGGGGGTTAAAAATGCTCCAATCTAGTTAAAACTCGATATTTGCTTATTTCTCAATACGAAGATTGTTAATACAAAATTTCAACCTGTTCGGAGAAACCGTTAAAAACTACCCCTAAAACAACCTTGCAGACTAGGGCTTAAAAATACTCTAATCAAGTCAAAATTTGACATTAATTTATTTTTTTATTATTTTATTGTTAATTATTAATTAATTTATTAATATGTATTTAAATTTAAAAAATATATAAATTACGAATATAGGAGTATCTGTTACAGATACGTGAATTGTGATAATTTGAGTTCATGTTTATCGCTGTTAGATAATAATTGTTGCTACTATGTAAGAATGCATAAGTTCGGCATTTTTTCGTCCAATCTCTCATTTTTTGTGCGTTTTTACACGTCATTTTTGCTGTTAACTTGGTTCATTCAGTACATACTATATGCTGGTTTTGAGTTCTTTGAGATATACTTAATTAAACTTTCATCATCAGTCAAAAAATACAAAGTTAGTGGTGTCCAGAAGAGAAAATTTAAAATTCAGAGGCAACAAAATCTTAAAGATATTTTAAAGAAAATTAGAGACATTTTTAATTTCCGAGAAACCTAACGTAAAAAAAAACGTTTTGAGAGAAAGTTTAAATTAATAATAGGAAGCTCAAACTTAATTTTATTTGAGTTTCAAAAAGAACCCAGAAATGTGCTAATTTCTTAATTAATGGGAAAACAGATTCTAGTATAATGGCAACTTGGTAAATTTGGCCAAAATATTAAGTACATCGTCGTTATTATGGTGTTCCCATATATTGTTATGTATTGACCGCGTCACCTCTAGTACGGCCAATGAATTGTGCTGAAACGCCGGCCGGAGATATAGCCCATGAAACCAAAATTTTATCTTCAAACTTTGCCTTCGACTTAAATTTTACTTGTAATTTCTTCTATATTGTTTGTATAAAATCCATCGTTACCTTCCATCTCTGAATGGGCAAACGTAATAGTAATTTTTCATCGCCCAACACAACCACACGACTGTCCAGAAAATGATGAATTCTCAATAGCCGGCAACATCTAAGAATTCTCTCTAACTGCGATGCTGTATGTTTTGAACATTTAGCTCTTTTGCTGTATTTTAAGTTGTTTTTGCTTATTTCTCTAGAAACTGTTATATAGGAACTCTAAACAATCGAGCCAATCTTCTTGTTGATGTTCCAGGCTCTTGTCTTTCTTCTTAATCTTTCTAAATTTATTGTGGTATTGCTACCTCGCAGTCTTTAATTGTTCTGTATATAGTTGCGCGTGTAATATATTTGGTCCAAAATATATTCACAATTTCACTTTTAGATACTTGGGTAACTAACTGGTATATGGTATATTTGCAACTCTATTTTGTATGACATTGTTTAAGCGTTAATTGACATAAATCTATGACATAAATTGTATAAAATGGGAAATAAGAAAGGTTGTTTGGTTACGCTGTTGCAAATGTAACTTGATTCGATTGCATTTTAAGTTAAAAAAGATAGGAGTATATGTAAATTTTTCTCAAAACTCTTTTACGTACTAGCGGTGAAAGTGACATAGAATTGGAAAATCTTGGTAAAAGTAAAGACGACTACAGTTAAAACTAATCTAGTTGAGTGCATGTATTTAGGGAAATTTTAGTTGTATTCATAAATTAAATTATTAGATGGAAATAACTTGAAAATATACATGATTTTAATCTGTCCAATGGCACTACATACCTTATTTATAAACTGTTGACACATGATGTACAAATTAACAAAAAAAAGAAGACAAATAAACGCAAAATTTAATTTAATTTAACAAAATAACAGAAACAGACCAATTAGGATATTTTCTTAATTGAAATAATAAAGGAGGCTGTTGTTCTAAACAGTGTTTTTCATCATTTGATTATAAGTTTGGCAGTTAATAAACGTTTTCACGCGAAAATAATGCCGTTAACTCTTACAGACGCTTCCCAAATTGTCGCCCTGTTTCTGTTATTTTGTTAAATTAAATTTATTTCTGCGTTTATTTGTCTTCTTTTTTGTTGCTAATTTATACATCATGTGTCAACAGTGAATGGTTCTTTAATAAAATAACGATCACTAGTTAAATTAACAATTTTTAAAGTTTGGTTTTGCGAAATTTTACAGCGTGGTAGGTTTCTTGCCGGTCAGTGTATATGCATTAAAATACAGTTATAAAAGGTAACAAAACAATATTTTTCATAATTAACAATGCATATTAAGATCATTAGGTGATTAATTATTGTAGGAATTAGCTCGGTTTGCGCAAAGGTGGAGATAACACAAAGACCGTAGCAACGAATCTTAACCAATTAAAAACTCAAATAAGTTTGCTACTGCTGATTTTATATGCTTTCTTATGAAATTATTTTTGTTTTATGCCTGGTATCCCGCAAACGTTTTCGAGCACGCCTCTGGAACAACCAGTTTCTCGGAGGACCTGGAAGAACCATTTATGACCCTAGTAGAAAGCGCGGTACCAGGCATTTTTTCAAACAATCTTCCCTCCTCTCATTCTACCTCTATGGTGCGCACCTACTTTAGACATAATGTACAGTCTGCAAGGTTGTTTTGGGGGTGATTTTTGAGGGTTTTTTCGAATAGGCTGAAATTTTGTATCGATAATCCTCGTATTGAAAAACTAGCGATTGTCAAATTTTGACTTCATTAGAGTATTTTTAAGCCCCAGTCTGCAAGCTTGTTGTGGGGGTAGTTTTTCTACTGTTTAATTTTTTTACAAAAAAATTAAACAGTAAACAATGGTCCTATGAAAACTTGAACAACGCTTTTTAAAATGTCTCTGTGAAAACTACACTTAACTGCAATAATTACACCGGAAGATCAGCCTTAAATCATCAAAACCAATGCAACTAAACTGCCAAATTTCAAATATTTCACATTAAAGTCACTAGATAACCAAAGTACCGCAGTTCAATGTCCCAATGTGTAAGAAAGAGAAGTAGCTTGCGTTGCGCGCCCTCATACCGTCACAAGACAAACGACCACCCATGAAAATGGGTCAGTAAAAATAGCGAGTTGTCTCTACTGATTGATATGTATACTGTGGCCTGACCTTACTTACAATACCTACCGATTCGCTTGACTCATCTTCATCGAACTCTTATGCAGGTAAATAGAACGATAATAAACATTACTTGATAGAAGTTTATACTTTTGTGGTAATCCTATGACGGTTTTAAAAGTTGGATCTCACACTTTTGTTTCCCAGGACCACCCTGGCCAGGAGTATTATACCACTTATAAATAATATTTTGCAAGAGATCATCTTAGCACAAAATCATGTTCCAAACATGATATCGTGATTAAAATAAGTTTGACAACATTTATGAGACAGTTTGTAGTTAAAGAAAGAGATATTTAGTTGGCAAAAAATTACTTCATATAATATTCTATCAGCAGCAATGATCAGTATTGATGGTTGCTTAGACACATATCCATTTGTCCGCGAAAAAATGGTTTTTGGGTTAGAGCAACCAATGCGACGCAAGCGCTGCCCGCTGGAATGCTTCTGCATGTCATTTCATGGTCGTTGTTGTCATTTGTTATGTTGTTTGATGCTATGATGTATGTTGTAGCATTTGTGGTGGCCTGTTTTGATAGCTATTGTTAATGTTTTTCCAGACTCCCAAAAACTGGGTATTTAATTTTTTTGATTCATTTTTTTCAGCAATGAAAAACTGATAACGTGTTGGATGAAAACTCGTTCCAGTCATTCATCCCTTTCGCTTGAGCAACTTGCAACGTATGTAGTTACATGTTAACTACTGTAAATTTATATCAGTTTCATTTCCTTTTAGAATAATTTTAACTGGTAGACGATAAGAAGAAGATCAAGTTGCCTACAAAACTTTAACGTCTGAGAAAAACTTACTGCGATGGATATGAGTGTGTATTTAACAGCTCCCTTACGTTTAGATAAAATTTGTAGAGCTTGTTTAACAGAAAAAGGAGATATGAGACCATTATTCGGAGCTTGCCTTGATGAAATGTTAGTTTCATTTGCATCAATACAGGTAGGTAGTTTACAAGAACATCTAATTTCATGTAAGAAAGAGATTTGTTGGAACTATGTAAAACTTGTAATATTAAGTTAACAATTTCTTTTGTAAGTTCATGAAGGTGTTTGTAATTTTTGGCCCTTATTATGGTATTGCTTGCCAAAACTGCTATCCATATTTTCAAGATACCAGTGGTAAGAAGGCATACTCTTGAAGTATATTTTCATTTTTTCATGTGGAATGTAAGAGTGAAGGTTCCAATATTAAGCTACAGCCATGTCAAATTTAATCTGAAATGAAATATGCTATTCATGTGCAAAAATTGTTATCTAGGATTTGGTAAAATACGAGTAAAAAGCAGTAAGGTCACTTGAATACCTGAACATTATAACAAATTGACTAGAATTTCTCGAGTTCAATTCATAATACTGTTCTGGAGGATGGAGAAATTTAAAAAAAGTAACACATTTTTCTTTGGTGGGGTGTTCAAAACATTTTCAGAATGTAATATCACCATTATTAGCAGGCTTATTATGAAATTGTTAAATAAGGACAGTTTTTTAACAATTTACCATCACCATTCTTTTTCATCGCGTATGTTTCCTGAGTAAATCAGTAAAATAAATTTAGACATTCATTAATTTTTTTGAGTCACCCTGTATATGCAAATCAAAAAAATATGAATGGAGTGATATATCACAAGTACAGACCCATCATATATTGTACATTTTAGATAGGATTTATTCGGCAAACTTTTGAGCTGCCGTCATCAAGTTTTTGGAGGGGATAACCAAATATATTTTGACTAAAGATTTATGATGCTCTTTATAGCCTTAAAACATCTGCAACATTTCAAAGCATTCGGGTTAGCAGATTCAAAATTAAATTGCAAAATGTTGTCGGTCCAGTACTTTCGGAGATTATCTGTCTAATAAAAATCCGGGACGGCAGACAGACGGACAGACAGACGGAAATGTAGAGTAAAAGTAGAGAGTCGGCCGACGGACTCGATTACAATACTTCCTTTGCTTACGCTCGGGAAGTAAAAACATAATATGCATGCAGTCGTCACGTTTCCGACAGCGAGGGAAGTACTGTCTAAACTATTTAGACCAATTTTTTGGATTTGCATATACAGGGTGACTCAAAAAATTAATGAATGCGTGAATTTATTTTATTGATTTAATCAGGAATTGCAAAACCGAATGCTTTGGAATCTTGGAGATGTTTAAAATTTATAAGCATGGTAAAATTTTTATCTAAATGTATTTGCTCATCCCCCCTAAAAAATCTTGAATGTGTAAAGAATGATGAGCCTATATTTGTGATTTATCACTGCATTAATATTTTTTAGATTTGCTTGTACGGGGTGTCTGAAAAAAATTAATGACTGAGTCGATTAATTTTATTGATTAAATCAAGAATTGCAAAACTGAATACTTTGATATTTTGCAGACGTATTTGTCTTAAATTACAAGTACTATACAGAGTGTTCCTTTTATCTCTTTACGCCTGACAATTTTTGCATAGGCAACATATTATACACCCCAGAGACGACTTCGTCCAATTTATTTTTTTTAATACGCAATCATAGCAATCACAAAAAAAATGACAAAGATGTCAATGCCAAACAATGACAAAATTGAAAAAATGAATAGTTATTTTATTTTAAAATACTCCGCTACAAAAATGTAATACGAATAAAAACATAATAGGCATGCATGTGACGTTTCCGACAGCGAGGGAAGTACTGTCTGAGCTCTTTAGACCAATTTTTTTTTTATCAATAATTGATTTTGACAGGCTAATGTATTTTATAATAATTGAAGTTTGTACTGTGCAGCCCTAGATCTTGTAAGAAAAACTGCAGTTCGCTAATGTCATATGCTATTTGTCATTTTCAGTTATGACAGTACAAAAAAAATCATTTGATCAAAAAACTCGGTTGATTATAAAACCTCGGTTTACAAACTTCAACCGCGTCCGTTATTTGCTCGTTTTCGGCCTTGTATCGTTATATACTTTATGGCCTTTATTTCACGCACTGTGGCCATAAAAGCATATACACTTTTCGGCACCGGTATCGTTATGAAAAACGTGCTATGACTAAATTTGTATTATACGACGTGGCGTCGTCAACAACTGTCAATCGTAAGTTCAATTCGTGTTTTTTTTTATGGTATTTTTATCACTTAATTTGTCAAATTTAGAATCTACACGATGAGTTCGGATTCAGATTCAGATTTGCTGAGTACTCCGCTAGAAATTACACCGGCAGCAAATGAAGCAAGCACTTCCCTACTGCCACAAAAATCATTGAATATGTATGAGAACATAATAGAAAAAATGTTTTGGAAAAAGAACAAATCTTCGAATTTGTAAAAGAGGCGCCTCATGTGAAATTTTTATTAACTAAATTAAGATACGAATATTTACACATATTTTATTTTTATTTTATTTAACTGTTATTTGAAGTTTATTGTGTAAAACAAATTAATGTATTCAACTTTTTTAATTTTTTTCTGTGTGAAGTCGTAGAAAAAGTATAGTGTGCAACACATTCGTCAAGAATTTTTTACCCTCGCGAGGTTTGCAACAGTTGCCTACGGCTCGTGTCGCAAACTCCACGCTTGTGTAAAAAATTCGACTTCACGCACTTGTTACACAAAGTACTATTTTAAATGATATTTTTTATAAACTACTCAAATCCAATATAAGCTTGGTATAGAACAGCTTTAATTAGTGCGTTCCATGATGGAATTACTGTTACCCTGCTGACTAAAGTAGATCGTAGAAAACTCATACTACCAAAGCTATCTGTGTATCGTATAAAACATCTTACCCTGGTTTCGTCGTTTTACCACATTTTTTTACTTAAGCGTGTAAAATTCCGCGCCTTTGAAAAATTATAAAAAATTTTGTTTCTTGATAAGTGATAACATAACCTTTATACTTTATATGTATATTAAAAACCAGTGGTGTGACTGACACTTTGAACCCCCTGCGCCGCGGACAATATGAAATATATTCGAAGCAAATAACCAACGGAAAAGAGTGTATTATTATCAGGGTACATGCTTAACTTCGATTGTTTACGTTTATACATCGAAAGAATGTCACATATAAATTTGTTTAATTTCAATGAGTTGCCTCCTCAAAACAGGACTAAAATTATTTTATTAATTTAGCCACGATGGAATAAAACGTTTTAAATATGATTATTATTATTTGATCGTAATTAAATGAAGACGTGGGTATTCTCACATTTTCTAGAAAATGAGGTTCTTATTTTGATCAATAAAAAATTGGTCCAAGGCTGTTAAATACAATCCGATCCAGCTCTTTAAAAAAAATTATAAAACTTAATTGTACGATTTTCGTCTTGTGATAACCGCTGTAAAGTAAAAGCCAGCGCCATAAATAACACCCCCGCAGCCCCTGCGGCGTACGGACAATGTAAAATATATTTAAAGCACAGAACTAATGGGATAAATTGTCCTTCAGGATTTAAGTGTTTATTTATATTTATACGTAGAAAGAATGTCACGTAGAAATTAGTTCGTTTTGAATGAGTTTGTCTTCTCAAAACAGAGGACTAAAATTATTATTAATTAAACCACAATCGAACAAAATGTTCTGAATATTATAATTCTTATTTTACCATTATTATACAAAAGACCGTATTCTCACATTTTCGAGAAAATGGGATGACTGACTCGTTCTTAATTTGACCAATAAAAAAATTTGTGATATCATCAACGTGGACAATACTAGTCACAGCACAAAAGAGAAGTAACCACAGCAAGAAAAAAAAAACGAAAGGGCCAAATTCGACATCGAACCCACGGCAGAATATCGCCGCTTTGCCGACCAAGCCGCTGACCTGCTGAGCCACGAGGAGTTCTATTCCGTGGGGGTAATATAACGTTATTATACCGTGCAATTGTTTTTGCGAAAATTTGAATGTTTAGCGATAAAACTGAAAGCGGATTCGTATCCTACAATTATAGAAGTATGTATATTTTTGTATAACATTAAAGTCATTTTAAAATACGGTTCATTGAAATGACGTCATCAAATTGTTAATCGGGATGATCAGCCAAATTTTGGTTAGTATTTAACCATCTACATGATAATTCCTACATTCAAAATTTGACAACAATAGGTCCAGCAGTTTCGGAGATTAGGTGGATACAGACACCAGACAGACGGAAACGGCAGACTACTTTTTTCGTACTGTAGGGGCTATGAAACGTCGAGAAAACATTAAAGTGGCAATTTGCCCGATGGACTCGATTACTATACTTCCTTGGCTTACGCTTGGGAAGTAAAAATTAGTCGAAGGTTATTTCGACAGAACTTCCCTCGCCCTTGAGTACATCTCCAGCTTTTTCGAAAATCATTTGATTTTGCGAATTTTATTTTTACTTCCCGAGCGTAAGCGAAGGAAGTATTGTAATCGAGTCCATCGGCCGACTCTACTTTTGCGTTTTCTTTATCTTTCATGACCCCCAGAGTACGAAGAAATAGGTCTCCCGTTTCTATCTGTCTGTCCTTGTATCTGTCTGTCTGTCTGTCCGTCCGTCTGTCTGTCTGTCGGTCCAGATTTTTTAGATTTGCTTAAACAGGTGGCTCAAGAAAATTAATGAATAAGTCAATTGATTTTATTGATTACATTAGGAACGGCTCACTCCATTTTCCCAGAAAGTTTTGGGAATACATTACTGTTATTTTTAGTATTACACTGCACCAATCCAAGTTGATATCCGTGTCCTTGCAAAAATTGTGTAAAGAAAAAACTCAACTCGAAAATGCTGGATATGTTTCATTGTACTTCAGGAGCGAGGGAAGTTCTGTTGAAACAACTTTCGACCAATTTATTGGATTTGCTTATACAGGTGACTCAAAAAAATTGATGAATGCGTGAATTTGTTTTATTGATTTAATCAGGAACTACAAAACCGAATGCTTTGAAATCTTGGAGATGTTTTAAATCTATCATAAATTTTTGATCAAAATGTATTTTTTGCTCATCTCCCATAAAAAATTAATGACGTCACCTCAAAATTTTACTGAATAAATCCTATCTTAAATGTGTAAAGTATGATGACTCTATAGTTGTGATTTGTCACTGCATTAATATTTTTTAGATTTGCTTATACGGGGTGTCTCAAAAAATTAATGACTGAGTCAATTTATTTTATTGATTAGGTAAATCAAGAATTGCAAAACTGAATATTTTGAATTCTTGCAGAAGTTTTGAAGTTACTGTAGGCATGGTAACTGTTTAATCAAAATGTATCTGTTAATCAAACCTACAAAATTGATTACGTCATCTCAAAATTTTGCCGAATAAATCCTATCTAAAATGTGCAAAATATGATCAGTCTATACTGACAATTTATCATTGCATTCATATTTTTTAGATTTGCTTTTATAGGGCGAGTAAAAGTATTTATGTTTCCTTCTCATTTGCCACATAGACTGCGTAAACTAAGCGTTATGGGTGTAAGACGTAGAGACTTGCTTTCTAAGCAAAAGTTAACGTGGGGTCTAAAATTTAACATGGGAATCCCTATGGCCACTTTTAAAAAAGATGTACTGTATATATAATCTTGTTACAATGTTGATGACGTCATCACAATATCTTATTATAGGAAAATTCACTTACGCATGGCATGCTTTTATATCTTTATTTTAACTGATAGGGCTTATCATAAAGAAATATAATTTGAAAAATTAAATTTTATAATTTTTCGAAAGAGCTGTATTTGTTCGCCTATACTTCAGGAGCGAAGAAGTTCTGTCTAAATATCTTTAGACCAATTTTTTGCTTGTGGTAATTTAATTCAATTTAATTGGACTATAAAAAATTAAAAACTGTTAATCATATGAAACTGTTACCCAACTCTTTTCCTCTATTAACACAGACTTTTGTATTTTGAGGTGGAAGAAGGTGATGGTCTCCCAAATTTGATGTGTGTACAGTGTGTTCTCCAGTGCAGTAGAGCATACACTTTTAAACAGCAATGTGAAAAATCAGATAATATCTTACGGCAGTATATTAGTGCAGATTTTCAGGTAAATTATTCCGCTAAGATAATGATACAATTATTTAAAAGAAATGTTTTAGCAACAATTGTCGGAAACTTTAAATGAACAACAAACAAAAGAAGAACTTCAAGGACAATTACAATTTCCGGATAATATAGCCAATGTTGTTATAGAAGAAGGAATAACTGCTGAATTTGTTGGGTACAATGAAAGCGTTGGTAGCGTGGTAGAGGTATATTTTATGTTTGAATAGAAAATTTAAGCTTTCATATTAATTATTTTAAGGTAAAACAAGACTTATATCCTTTGGAAGCACCCACAGAGGTGGAACCTATTGAGGCTGAAAAAAATGACGACTTACAAAATAAATTAAAATACCTTTGCACAAAATGTGACGAATCTTTCGCCCTAAAGGTTGACTTAAAGGTAAACATTTTTGTTTTAAAAATCGTTTAAAAATTCCACAAACTGTGTGCGACTAAAATGTAAAATTCGAATAAATGTATTGACGACTGGCTAAGTCCAAGTTACATTTTCTGATGCAGAATGTCATGATCAATCCTATCGAATGCCTTTTAAAAATCAGTATATACACCGTCTACTGCAGTGTGTAAGTCCAAAACAGTGGGATATATCTTGTCAAAAAACCGCTAGATTTGTAACAGTTGATCGACTACACATCAACCTGATCTGCAGTAAGAATTCCAAAAAATAAGCTATGTGTGTTTGGTCCACGTGATTGTTACCATTAGACTTATGAATTTTTGTTGTCGCAAGACTGATGAATGTTTGTTGCATAGTTGGTCAACGAAAACTTGGTAAATTTAAAAATTTGAAGTATCACGTGTTCGAAATCGGTAACATATAAAAACTCGAGGTTTAATACGTAATCATGTATCTATTTAGTTAGTCTTGATTATAAAGTCGCAGACAAAACTTAACACGAAACAAACGTCATTTGGGTAAAATTTTCAGGAGATTCGTCTATTCTAAGGTATAGACATGGGTTATCCACAATTCAATGTTTTAAAAATTTAGGTTAACACCCTTATACGACAAGTGAACGTCCATATTCACATTATATCTATCACTTGTGTCATTCTGTTTTGACACTTAAATGCAGTGAGTAAATCTTCAAAATTTTGACAAATCAAGTGTAAGCGAATCCACTTTGTTAAATTTTGTCGGCGATTTCATATAAAAACTGACGGCTGCAACTACAAACAAAGTTGCAGAAATTTTTATTGTAACAAGTATTTGTAATAAAATTTGATTGTTCAATTTATTTTATGCTGAATTTTTTATGGTCTAAAATTTCAAAAGGTGAAAATTGTAATGGTGGTTGAGTTCGAGCTCCGCGAAGAATATATCTAGTGTTTAATTAATTTTAATTTAATTGTGTATTAAGTAATGTTAACAAACAAGTTCAAATCTTGACGTAATTGATACATTAAGGCTGTAGTCATATTTGGCTATTATTTTTTAAAGACAAACTTCAGTCGGGTTTGCTTTATTTCTAACGTTTACTAAATGCAGACACTGTGTTTTATTAAGATTACTATTACCGCCGCCACGCCTCTCATATATAAATAGCGTAAAATATTGAGCGATAGCAATGTTTGATAAAAATTTTATTCGGCTATTAACGAAGTGTCACCCTCCTAAATGTCTGTGTATCCAAAATCATTGTATTCTATCGTATTTTTCAGGTCCACATGATGTCACATCCTAAAGATTTGGATCATGTGTGTCACGTTTGTAATAAAGGTTTTCCTGAGTCTCGTATTCTTAAAAGGCATTTAAAAATCCATCTTGATAAAAAGCCTCATCAGTGTGATCAGTGCCATATGTCTTTCGCGGAAAGTTCCAATCTAAGTAAACATAAAAAAAAGCATACAGGTGAACTGCGTAATATCACTGGGAAACCTCATTTATGTTCAGTTTGTGGACGAGCATTTAAATGGGCGTCTAGTCTGTCAAAACATATGAAATACCACACAGGTCATAAACTATTATCTTGTGATTACTGCGGAAAACAATATGTCGAGGTAAGTAGTAATGTGATCAGTAGTATGTATAAATGTATACAGAGAATTTCAATGAAAACGAGCCACGCTAAATAACTTCTCTTAAAAAAAACACAAACAAATAAATGGGTCACCTCATTTGAAAGGTATTTTGAGACTATTTGCAATTGCATAATTTTTTTTTGAAGTTTATCATTTGATAAAAAACCGATAACATTTCTTATTGCTACAAAGCCTAATTATGATTTATAACACTGTTGTCTGTACTGAAAATGTTAAAAACCCTGTTATTGGCATATTCATTACTTATGCGCATCATAGTGTTCATACAAATAAATTTATTTTTAGTGTTTTGATGTTCTCAAGATGTGACGAAAGGTGCCAACTTTGCTAGACATTTCTAGATTTAAAAAACGATTGATTTTTTTAAGAAAACGTCCTGTAGAATGGATAGCCAGGTTACTGGATCTCATATCACTTGATTTTTTTGGGATAACTTAGTCAGTGGTTGACATAACTAGACCTGAACATTTGAAAGAATTAAGGGAAATAATTATTTGGGATTGCCAGCAAGTAATTGTGGCAGCTTTAATGTAAGGCAGTGGACCTCATTTTGAATATCTTCTAAAATTATAGGAAATTAATTAGTGTAATTAATGTATTATAATGAACTAAAAATGTTTTTTAATTTAAATGTGAAAAAATTTCATCGATTTTTTTAAGTAAATAAAATAATAAATTCAAATTAGTATTAGAGTATTAAAATACTTTTCAATTGAGGGGTCACTAGATCCCCTCTTCCCCATACCATTTAAAATTTTTAATTGAGAGCAGTAGGGACAAGAGGAGGCGATGCAACAACGTTAAATTTTTTTGAGATTAAAATATGTCCCCCTAAAAATAAAAGTTGACCTGTTCTTGGATTTTTCTCCAAACATTTATGAGTTGTTTAGGGAGGTTTCTTTTCATTTAAATATGCTATATGCGAGTAGTAATATAGATGTAATACTTACACAGTTCTGCCTGATAGTCCGGTCAAAATAGACATTTCAAATAACAACTCTGACAGAGCTGAATTTTGGTAGAAATCTTGGGTAGACCAGTAGAAATAAAGTGCAAAAGTGCCCATAGATCCCACATGTGCTACTTGCTCGAATGTTCAACTGAATCCAACAGACGAAGATTCATGTGATATCGATGGAGAGACAGCTGATTGATCTTCAGTTGAACAATTTATGAACATCCAGCAGGAAGAAGAGGAGGAAGAAGAAGAAATTGAAGAAGACATGACTGTTGAAGTCGAAGAGTATGAATCAGATTAAAATGTTAACAGAAATTGGAACTATAGTTTAAATCAATCAACTATGTCAATATCAAAATCAATAATCATCATGCAGTAAATACAGTATTTTCCCATAAAACTCCGTCATAACTCATAACAGATCGTAGGCCTACTGGGGAAACCACGTTAAAAAAAAACGCGCCAAGTACACTACCTCACAGGTGGTGTGGAAACGTGTACATATCATGTAGAATGTAACTCCTTCAACTTTTAGAACGGCGATATCTTAGGAATGGTGATTCTTCGGAAAAAAGTATAACGACCATTTTTGTAGATAATTTTATGCTCTATAATTTTTGTCTGAACTTTATTTTTGATGAAACTTACCGTTTTCGAGAAAAATCCAAAAAAAAACAAAAAATTTGACCTTTGACCTTGAATAACTTTTTTAGCACACATGGGATCTATGGGGACTTTTGGCACTTTATTTCTACTGGTGTACCCAAGGTCTCTACCAAAATTTAGCTCTGTCGGAGTTTTTGTTATTTGATCACTATTGGTATGTCTATTTTGACCGGACGATGAGTTTTTGTCATGGCTGTGCAATGAGCATTTTTTTAAAAGGCTGTAGGAAATAATACATTCCAGAGCGCCCATATTATCGTTGTTCTCCACACTCATGAGGTCATGAGTGTGGAAATTTCTAACTTTATGTCAATGAGGAATCAGACACAATTGCTGTTGTGTACGATACTTTTCCAACGAATTTTTGAGATCATGTAGCTGTTTTAACAACTAGAAACATATTGTTATATAACACGAGTACATTGGAGGATCAACAAAGTCAGTCATTAGAGAGTTCAAAAAGAACATGACTAATGTAAAGTTTGGTGGGTTTGAAAAATCAAATGTTAGAACCTTTTTGTATACATAGTTTTCGAAATTCTGTAGGGTTATAATCTAGTAATACGGAATAATAATCACTTTTGGGCAATTGGTTACCAACAGTAGTCTACTGTCATAAATAAACGACTATAATAGTACCAATATCTTGCCAACGGGCGCCGATTTGGCTTCTGCTATATGGATTATTTCTACCTTCAGCTGTTTTTCCAGAACGTTTAAGATTACCAAGTTTTTTATTTATTTAGAAAAATGTGACGTATAGATTAAAGAAAAAAAAAACAGTGTAATATGATAAATAATAATACATTGTGGATTCTGATATGCCCCAGACGGGAGACCACTTGTTTCATATTGTAGAGGTTATGAAACGTCGAGGAAACATATAAGTGGTCATCCGTCTGATGGACTTGATTATTATACTTCCTTACTTACGTAGTAAATAAAAAAGTGGACTTATTCCAAGATTTTTTCAAAAACTCATAAATCCAAGTTGAAATAGGTTGGGAATGAAACATAATTCGATTAATTCCCACGATCATGCACTTTTAAGGCGTATTTCCAAAAAAACTATTTGTGAAATAAATGCGCAAAATGGTACTTTGGCGTATTTTTCTTTGATATAAATAAAGAATAATAATTGCTACAAATTTAGCTCTTTATATTTAATATATGTGCGAGGTCACAGAATATGTACTATTGAATATTTGTTTTTCTAACTAAAGTTAACTTTAAAGCTAGAATCTTTAAGTGCAGATTTTCCAAAATCGGCTGAGGTTCTCAGTTCATTCGGTTCTCGGTTCATTAGATCAACATATTTTAGATTTGTGTTTAGCTTTTGTGGCTTTAGATCTTTTATCATTCACTAAAGTCCTGAATCATCAAATGAAAAATACTATTGTTCCTTATGGTGAAAAGAAAATTTAATAGATATATATATTTATTTGCTCAAAGGCAAATGTTCTGGATGCCCGTTTTGGCTAGGTGGTAATCGTAGAAAAACAAAATTGTAATATTGAACAAGTATTAACGAGGATTTTTTTCCAGTGAAGAAAATAACTTTAGATATTATTAAGTGGAGGTTTTGAAGCTAAATTCAAAAAGTAATATTCATGGGACACTTTTATCATATGATTTGGCCACAAAGTACAAAACAATATATTTATGCTAATTGCTATATTATCACAATCATTTAATGGAGATATAGCTAGATACCTTTAATAATAATCGGAGCTAATTCTCAGGTGCAATGACGGATTGATTTTATAATAGTTCCTTCATTCAAAATAAGGCTTGTATTACAGTATGTACTTTAATGGAGAGAAAGAATGAAGCTAGTTTTTGAAAGAATTGTTAACTGTACATGACCAACAACAGGTTTTTAATTTATTTGTTAACAGGCTAGAAGTCTACGTATCCATATTCGATCACACACTGGCGAACGACCATATACATGTGAAGTATGTCAAAAAACTTTTACGCAGATTTGCAATTTAGAAAAACATTTACGGGTTCATACTGGAGAAAAACCTTTTCTGTGCCCGATTTGTGGAAAAGGGTAAGTAAACTACTGGTCACTTTTTTTTCTAGGAGGCATCGTAGCGTCTGTACTAACATTAATAATATTTAAAAAAGCTGGTTGAATTATCTGGCGGAACTATTTTTTTTTTGTTTCCACTTACTAAATGTAGGTGGACTTAAAAGTCCAACTAGTACCTTTTGAAGTATTCTATGTGCACTAGTTTCAGTGCCGCTACTTAAAACTTATACAATATTTAGATCTCAGTGGGGACTAGAAATCGAATCGTAGTAATAAAGAATAACCTCCAACATGCATACAAAGTTGAGTGTGCTTCAGTGGGAAGGAAAATTTTGTCTAAATATTTTTAGATCAATTTTTATTATCTGTTTTAAATACTATAAGGTCCTACATTGCAATTTTTGGTAACTGATGAAATTTCTGCTTTTGCTTTATTTGAGCTTTTGGACGAGTTTTAAACGTAAATTAAATATGTATTTTCTTGCAGAAAAATTAAGTGAACAAAATAATTGTATTACAATATAAAATGTTATTTTTTGTATAATTATATTAAAGCCCCAAAAAAATGCGATTTTTTTTCAGATTTACCCAATCTGGTTATGTTGGTATTCACATGAGAACCCATACTGGTGCGCGACCGTATGTATGTCAGACTTGCGGTAAAGCGTTTGCAGGTTCTAATACTCTCACCATTCACCAACGCATCCATACTGGTGAAAAACCATATACCTGTAACATGTGTGGTAAAGCATTTAGTCGTCATGAAACTTTGATAATACATACTCGTTCACATACGGGTCATAAACCGCATGTGTGTAGCGTATGTAAGAAAGGATTTACCTCTTCTGGGCATCTTTCTGGCCACATGCGTACGCATACAGGAGAAAAACCTCATGCTTGTAACATATGTGGCAAAAAGTAAGTTTTTCATGAAGTACCTATATATACAGTGAAGAATAACGAGATTTATTTTTTTGTTATTAACTTTCTGATTTTCAATTAACCATCCATGTATTTAATTAAAATAATTTCTTTTTAGGTTTGCTGGATCCAGTAGTTTAAAAGTTCACATGAGAAGTCACTCCGTAGATAAACCATTCATTTGTAAATTGTGTGGCAAAGGATTTACCCAGTCTATTTTATTTCAGCAACACTTAACCACCCATAGTAATGTTGAAGACAAGACCAATATATCAAAAGTAGAAACAGTACAAATTAGAGATCTAATGTAGTTAATGTTATGTGAATATAAAATAAGGAAAAAATATTTATTTTCCTTGCTGCTGGCGTTGTAATTGTAATATCTAATAAGCAAGTTGAATCTTTAATGGTGGGTTTAATCGTGGGTCAAATCCTTGAAGAGATTATTCTGTTTAAAATCTGAGGTTGGAACAAATTCGATGACGTATCAGTTGAAAAGGTTATGCTGTTAATTATTAAGTACTATTTAAATATTTTTCGTAGTTACGTTTTAATGGAAAAGCTATAATTAAGACCTCATCACTTCATTAGTACGAAAATAAAAAAAAATGTCTACATCAACTTAGTTAATTAGGTAAGTTAAGTATATTAACATATAAAGTACAGTTTGGCATTGTTTCTCAAAAGTACATTTCCTGCTTGGAGAGAAACAATAATAATGTAGGCAACGACCCACACCTCCATATGTTCGCGGTAATCATTGACAAAGAAATTCCGTGGAAGGAGAATATACCATTGTAAATAAAACAATGTAATTATTTTTCCACACTTTCAGAAAACCGATGCCGTTTATAAAATGTCAAACGTAATGAAAAAAAAAGCAATAAATTTAAAACATACAGGTGAAGCACAACTTAAGAAAAATAAAGAAAATTTATAAAACCTAAACTGAAAAATGCGCACAAAAATTTGAAAACCTGTGAAATTTACAATTTTGCCATAAAATGTGACCGTCAACAAAATGGAACCCAACGTTGTGTTTTGATTTGAAGTGTGATAGACTGCGTTCAGATCTAAAACAGTGAACCCCAAAATATGGAAAAGTGCCCTAAAATTAATAATTATTATTATTATATTACTGTTAATTTAGCTTACGCACGGGAAGTAAAAATAAAAAGTGGATTTCAGTCACCTTGGTTATAGTTTAGGAAATATCGTAGTACCCTATAAACTTTTATTAACAATAACGAGACGGGACAGTAGTAACTACAATAGCAAGAGATATTTACAACTTAAAGCTGTTGCGTGGCGGTACCTAATCCGCAGATGTTCGAAAGCAGAATAATCCGAACAGGGATCATCGTTACGCACGAACGAAAATGAGCATTTTTTACGAGTACAACTACCTGCTAAATGTTCTCCGACAAATTCGGGTTGAACTGGTGTGAACCATAAATATTTCTTACCATTGTACTACTGTCCGCCTCGTTATTGTCAATAAAATTTTATAGGGTACAACGATATTTCCTAAACTATACTAAGAAATCAGAAAGTAAGCCGAGGCAGTGTTGGCAATTTTACTTTTATAAAATGACGGTTTTTTTCGTAATGTACACCATAAAGAATTTTTTATTATTTTTTTGGGACTCCCGAAACTCTCGTACACCCGGTATATATAAATAATAATAATAATAATAATTCTTCATTAAAAAATACATGTTCCCATTATTTCAAAAAATCCAATCTGTTAGAAATCGGACACTTATTTTGGAACAAAATGTATTTCCAAATCGGACACTTAATTTGAGACAACGGATGTTGTCGGTGATATTTTCAAGACAGAATGCAGTGTTGGTGGTTTTTTAATTTTGGTAAAATATATATGCGCTCTGTGCAATAGGCAATCCGACTTTGCACGTGGCGCATTAATGTGTACGGCATTTTTAAATAAATTTCAATACGAAATCGGATTGTTTTGATTTGCTATCAATGATATGTTTACCTTGACATGCATTACTACTTTTGTGTAAAACAGTAGATATTGGTTGTACTAGTATGTTTTATTTTCGTAAGAGAACGCTACCTACATAATTACATCAATTGTTTCACATGATAATACCGGCCATTGAATTTTTCTGTTATAAACCAATCTTTTGCCGCGGAAAAGTGCACCTCAATCTAGGAAAGCATTTTTTAGTCATCGGCAAAAAGTTGAGATCCATTAACTATTACAGAGGTTTGGTACATGGCTAAACATAATTTGACGTTAAAACCATCTAGTTGTAACGAAGTTTCGAAGGTATGTATAACAAGTATTTTTAAGTTTTAACAACATTGACAAACGTTTCATATCATCAAAATTTCATGTACTAAACGTCAATAGAATCATTTGGGGTTACAACCGCCAATTTTACTTGATAGGGATAAAAAAATTTAAACGGTGATTTTCGGGTACTCCCGGCCAGTGGTGTGCGGGGAATTCCGGCCGACCATTATTACCGGCATGTAATACATATTTATTTTTTGCGCATTTAATTATTTATTATGAGTAAAAGAATGTGCAAAAAAGACGTACCAGTTGCAGAAGAAAGTTTCGGAAGATGATAGTCACAAAAAAGTGAATAAAGACATATGTGTCATACGCGGTGACATTGGCAAACATAGAGAACTATGGCTGCAGTGCTGCCACTGTGGACAATTTGTATGTGATTTCTGCCAATAAAGAAGATACAGCTAACCGTGGCCGTCATTACCCTACCCTACTCTTTTGTGGCGGGTATTAGCGGCCACTGGACAGGTTAACCAAAAAATACAGAACTTTTTATTTTTGTTAACAGTATTTAAAAAAATATATATTTTATGTTCAATAGCTTTGAATTACCCGATTCACATCAATTTTATATGAACAATAAAGATAATATTGACGAAATGGCTTAGGCGGCCGCCATTCCCCCACTTTCCCCTATACACAGGGCATGGAGTTATTCTTTGATGTAAATTTCAAGTGTTTGTTAAAATAAACTATCACTAATATAACAAGTTAACAAGGTCAGTCCTTTTCATCTAAAAAATAAGCTTGTACAACTGCGTATTTTTCCAAATTTTCCTCTGAAAATGAGTTTCGCTTCGGTGTTAACCTGTCTTTGAATCTAGAAAAAGATCTCTCCACATCACACCTTGTTACTGAATCTAACAAAAAATTAGATATAAATTTGGACCATTTTAAAAAAGTACAATCTGTAACAGTGTTGAAGGATATTGCTTTTGATAGTAAGAAATCCGATTTTTTTGCCAGTATTGCGTCAATTTTGTTTTAAATTCATCTTGAAATGGCCAGTTTATTAATCTGTTAAATGAGATAATGTTGATTCAGATTTTTCCATCGAAATCTTGTGTTTCTAAAAATTTTACTGATTCAGGTATTGTTGATAAACTATTGTCTATGACATTTAATTGTGATGCATATTTTCTGTTAACATCGGAAAAACGGTCTCGAATAAATTCAGACACACGATATAAGTCATGAACTAAACAAGTAGTATGCAACATGGGAAAATGTTCTTTTATCAGCATCTGAAACAATTAAAAATAATTTTGATGCATTCCCATTACAAATTTTTGCTGCATTTACTGTCTCTGACTATTGTAGAAACCAAACATGGTTTCGACAGTTTTTCGACTTTTAATATTCCCATCAACATATTAACAGCACATCTACCCTTAACGTCAGTTGTTTCGCCTGCACTAACCCATACGTAATTTTCTAATATGATTGATTTTATCGCTAATATGGTTTGATTGTAAATTTTTGGAACATAATTTTTTTTAATCGTAGATTCCTCGGGAATATCACGTTTCATAACATTTATTTAAAACATTTGTGTAATTTTTTTAAAGGAATATTGGCAGATATAAAAGCATTACAAAGGTCTTCATAAAATGTTTCTTTTCATGTTCCAGCCAAATTTTGCTTATGTCTTTCAATATGCACGTGTTTTTGCAAACTATTTTTATCTGTGAATGCAAGTCTTTTTGAACTGCAATAAACTTGTTTATCATTTACATATGGAAAATTGTCAAATTCTTTTAATAGACGTTCCATATTTTATTAAAAAAGTAGATAAAAATGTAACTCCAAATGTAATTGAATGAAAAGTGCTATACTTCCTCAGCTTACGCTCGGGAAGTAATAAAAAGTAAATACCTACTAATTGAACAGAAATAAAACGAAAAATTATAATAAATGAAATGAAATGAAACTATTTTAAGAAATTACTGAAATTCGTAACCACAATGGCTGATTAAATGAATTGAAAATAAAATTAAACAAACGGAAATGAAACTCCAGCTCTTTTGAATACAAGTTAAAAAGTGCACAAGAGTGGTGGGGAAGTCATCTCGTATTCGTGTGGTAGTTGGAATAGTGCGTGCTGCTGCTGCAGTCCCCACTCCTATGTACGAGACCTACATAATTATTCCGAAAAATGTCCGCGCTCTGGCTCATGTCATGACCCCTAGAGTACAAAATATAGGTCTCCGGTTTCCGTCTGTCTGTCTGTTTGTCCTCCGTGTGCGTCAATTTGTGTTAGAAGTTAGACACATAATTTCTGAAACTGCTGGACCGACTGTTGTCAAATTTCATATGTGTATTACAAATATCATGTACCTACATGGTAAAACACTAACCAAATTTTGTCTAATCGCCACCAACAATATAATGACGTCACCGCAAAACTGTATGTAGTAAACGGGTTTTAAATTTGTGTTGAGATTTTAGCCGAGACCTCCAGATTTTTGTGAAAAAAAAATCAAATTTATATAACAACTGTGAATTTTGGATCTGCAAAACCGAATGCTTTGAAATCTTGTAGACGTTTTACAAGTATGGCAAATTTGTAATCAAAATATTTTTGTTTATACCCTCCGAAAAATTGATGACGTCATCTAAAAATTTTGCCGGATAAAATCTATTTAAAATGCAAAATATGATGAGTCTCTACTTGTGATTTATCATTCCACTCATATTTTTTGAATTGCTTATACAAGGTGACTCAAAAAAATTAATGAATGTGTCAATTTATTTTATTGGTTACTGCAGTACCGAACGGTTTGAAATCCTGCAGACGTTTTAAAGTTATCGTAAGCATGGTAAATATTTAATCAAAAAATACCTCTTTATCCACCCAGAAAATTGATAACGTCTTCCCAAAATTTTCCTGAAAAAGTCGTATTTAAATTGTGCAAACTATAATGAGTATATACTTGATTTATCAAGAACATTTATATTTTTTTAGAATTGAATACAGGGTGACTCTTAACGAAAATAAAATTCGCAAATTCTATTGTAATATTTTCATCCCGAAAGAACTAAAAAAACATATTTTAATAGAAAAAGATCAAAATTCAACAATCAAACAAAGCTAAAAAAAAAGATTAAAAAAAGCAAAAACAATGATCATTGGCTTACTGTTTAGGAACGTCAATAACGAGCCTATAAGACTGCTACCATGCTCTAGGACATCCCACGAATTAAATTGTGTATTTATTTTAGTTTGACAATACTCCCATTCCTCTAAAAGCATATTCCGAAACTCATCTAAACTACTGTTTGCAGGTACACTCAATTATTATGCTGATCAAGAAACAACTTCATAAATAAGCACACTAAAAACGATGAAGCACTGTACTGTAAATATTAGGTGGTCTGTTTTCGTGCCGGTGAGTGTAATATGTCGATGTGTGTCTTAAAAAAGTAAAAAATACCAGTAACTATCAACTTTAAATATAGAAAATACAAAGAACGAACAAAAAATTGAATAAGATGCAGTAAAAAATGAGTATTTGTTGATTGATTTGAGAAAACTGAAATATTCATGTTTGAAAATTCTAACAAATATTTTTTTATATAAACACTTTGTATATCCAAAATTTAATTTCAGTTAAGTATACCACAACAAAGGGTGTACTTTTATTTATCTCTCCACAAAATATTGTAATACAGATTTTAAAAATAACCGTACTGTGACTACTGTGATGTTCCTGTGATCCCTTCCACTCCTAAAAAATAGCAATAAAATTGGAATAACCTAGCAACGTCGTATTGGAATTTAAAAAATAAACTGTGATTGTGATTGTAAAATCTAGGAAGAGATTAATCAAAATACGCAAAAATGTATAGCGTATTTCATTTAAAAAATTAAGTTGTGTATTACCCCTTAAAAACAGAACACTCTGTATGGTTAATAATAATTTTTGGAGTATAGTCCTCAAAGAATCGCAAAAAATTGGTCCTTGATTTTTTTCTGTGTTACTAATATTTAAGGAGATATCCCGGAACGCGCGCTTAGTGACTTATTCTGTATATTAAAGATGAGCTTAAATTTTTTGAAAATACTTGAGATGAAGAATAACAATGATAACCAAATTTTGATGACTCCTGCAACTTTATTAGTGCCTACTATTAAAATTGTGATTTTTTTTGTTAGTTTGTTTTTGTTGATTACAGGGTCAATCATTTACTGAGAGTCGTATTTGACATGGCGAAATTAAAAATCTTAAGCCATATGCATAGGTGCAGTATGAAAGCTTTAATTAACTGTGTGAGACAAGAGAAACTGTCGAAAGTTGCTTCGTTGATTATTTCGTTACACTGTGAGTAGGATTCCGCTTATAAGTATTTATTTACCTTCACAAGGTCGAGGTAGGTACGTCATCGAAATGAGGTGCTGTTAAATTACATTAGAAATCTCGTGACAGTCTTATGAGTACATAGAAAAATGTAAATAAATCTTATCTTGAAACGAATGTAAGTGTGATTAATTCGATACCTGTTAACTATTGGTCAAACTAAAATAATTAATAAATACGAAGATGCCATCGGACGTTGTAACTATCGCTGTATCGACAGGAATCGGAGTAAGTGTAATTGCAGGAGTACTTTCTGGTGTTTGCTATGTGCTGGTCCAAGGCTTTGCACGAAAAAGGTAAGAATGTAGTTAACTACGATGCTATTAGTAGGATCAACTCGCTTTGAAACGGTATATCTATTTTGCAGTGATTGAAACAATTATTTTATAAAGTAATGCATTACAATTACTCATTATTCAGTAACAATAGTAATTCATTACAATTACAAATTACTTTTTTTTAAGATATTCATAACAATTACTCATTACTTTTAAAAAGTAATGCATTACTTTAACAATTACTGTTTGCACTTTGAAAAATTGGATGAAGACACAATTTTAGATATTTTTTGTTGTATGGGCTCAAAGGGTCAAGAAAAAACGCGTTAGAATGAAAAAGGCAGTGAGTGATTTATTTTCCTAACGCATTTGTTACATATTCACATCAGTAAATACAATAAAACAAATAAATACTTCACGCAAGAGGACTATAATTTAAATTCAATAACAACTGACATTCAAAATTTTCGCAGCTAAGACATGACGTTTTGTCTTAAAAACGTCCGTGCCAACACTAATCATCCTTTCCACAGCGGCGCAAGATGGAATGGTTGGGGGGCAACATGTAACATGTGACATATTTTATCAAAAATTGACCCTTTTCCTGTAAGCAAAGTGAGTAGACATTATATAAATTCCAATGTTACAGAGTGAGACAACATCGCGCAGGCGAAGTCAGATTTTGGAGCGCCAAGTTAAAATTAACCAATGAGCGACAGATTACGCGTGTGTAGCCGGTTGCATTCTGTCAAAGCGGTTTGTTGTCACAGGCGTTTGCTCTGCTGCCGGAGTGCTGGATACTATTTCCAACGTGGTTTTGAAGATGCGTGCGCACGGAAAGTCACTATGGAAGTTTTACGATCTTACAGGAAAAGGGTCAATTGAAGAGCCGATTCTTTTGCGCCTAATTTTACTCCACTCTAGCTTCAAATAAAAGTTCGATGCCAACTGCAACAACTTTTAAACCAAAATTTGCATTGGTGGAAGATTTCAAAATATCTTATTGGCTACGTGTAAATGTATCGTAAATATTTGTGCTCATTCACAATGGGCATAAAGCATAAGGATGTCCTAAGCATTAATACATAAAAATTTATGTTTAGTGCTCTATGCTTGTATTCGTTCACAATGAGGATAATGCTTAGGACATCCTTATGCTTTATGCCCATTGTGAATGAGCACTTAGTCCACATCATAAAAAGGATGTTCCTAAATACTTAGAATGGAACTATTAAAAATACCAGATAATGTAAACTTCAAAGTCTGTCTTTAATTTTTAATTGCCTCTTACTTGACTTTGTGACATACAGATTAAATTTAGAAAATCTTAGAGGGTGGACACTCTCATAAAATTTTATTGGCGGATTATGAGGGGTTTAAAAAGACGGTCTCTATCGGTTATACTATCCTCAAAGATATTTGGCGTTTATGACTTCACACCAATTTGACTTCCATTATAATTCAATAGGCCGTCACAACCGGATGTCTTAAACCCGCTCACCGATACCTACCTGAAAAGACCTTTTCGACGTGCCAGGGACGGTCGAGACGCGAAGGACCGGACTCAGAGTAATTTTGTTTGTTAAAATTTTCAAATTTCAAAATTTCCTTACGGAACATGATTTATACTTTGAAGAAAATTACACAAAGACACAATTATTAGAAGTGTTACACACTCGAAAATTTGAGAAACAATATAAAATAGATGCTATGGCGCGAGATCGTGGATTTAGGGTGATTAGTAGACAGCGGATTTCTGTCGGGCTACGTCACGATTATAGGTGGGGACGCGCTGGATCGCCGGTTCGCCGGGACTCAGTAGCGGGTGATAGATAATCACTGAATTTGAATATCACTTATTCCATAAGTACAATTAACGATTTATTAATCAAACGGCTAAGTAAATGAGAACTGGAATTAACAGCAGAGTGCAACGAAGCAGCGGTATTCTAATCTCAAATAAACGAAGTGCAGCCCGTAACTGCAATGAATTCCCATCCCGTACGAGCCGTACCGAGTTTGGCCTTGTCTAGCCCGACCGAAATCCGCTCTCTACATCACACTTCCGCCGTACCATTGTATATTTAACCCCATCGAACTAATCTGGTCGCAAATGAAAAATAATATAAGAAGGAATAATACGGCACCAAAATTTAGTAGTGCAACAATTGACATAATTAGGGAAGAAGCTTCCAAAATAACTGCCGAAATGTGGGCCAATTGTGTACGACATTCCACAAAAGAAGAAGACCAGTACAGGGCACGGTTGATAACACCGTTAATTATTAATTTAGAAGAGTCGAGTGATGATGACAGTGACTATTTCGATCAATAAATAAGCAGTAGTAGTTAATAAGTAAATAGTTGTGCTGTAATAAAAAATGATTGAGTACAAAGTTACTTTGTTTTTACTTAAAATAAAAAACTCGAAAGGCGCAGTTGTCGGTAAATGCAAAACTCAGTCCTGCCCTGTGCTTTTACCAGAAAAGGTCTTTTCAGGTAGGTATCGGTGAGCGGGTTTAAGACATCCGGTTGTGACGGCCTATTGAATTATAATGGGAGTCAAATTGGTGTGAAGTCATAAACGCCAAATATCTTTGAGGATAGTATACCTGTTATAGATTTGAGTGGACCAGAAAAATGCCTAAGGTTTGTTTGACCACAAATTTTAAATATTTTGCCCGTTTTCTCAGTTATTTGAGATGTGATATTTTATTTCTGTAATGTGCAATGTATTTTTTAATACAATTTCTACTAATGTACTTTTTTGAAAATTTAAAATTGATCCATAAATAGCGAAAACCAGATCATTACAATTTTAACGCTTTGTAGTTTTTTTTGACAACAAGATTTAAAAAACGGAAAAGCAGTCTGGGTAGGGTTTTTTTACGCCCATTTCAACGGTGTGAAGTTTATTACAATCGGATGTATACTTTTGGCAAAAACTTGGACAGAAGTTTATATGTATTTTCCTATGTTGGAATATACTTTAGCTCACCCTTAAAATGATGACGAGCTTATGTATATTATGCTACTCAAACATGTGTGCAACTACTAATGAAAATAATATTATGGTTACCTGCTTTCTTAACAAATTCTCTGCTAAACTCTATTTAGATTTTAACTCCCTACTGGGTTAATCTTCTTTTTTCTACTCATTAAGGTTGAAGTTTGTCATTTTCCCATCGCTGGCAGTGGATGAAATTTCATTTCACCCTCTAGTGGAAAAATACTCGGCCGTCTACGATTTTAACGGGTCGTCCAGCCTGAGCGTTTCGCAGCTAGCGAAATGTGTCGCGTATCGCCTGCACCGACCGCACCGTCCGCTTCGCGCGCTTCGAAAATCATGACGCCTAGGCTGGACGACCCGTTAGTGTTTGACGTTTAATACTGCTAGTTTACACAAGTGAAAACAATGAACATGAGTGAGACTGACGAAGTTTCTGAAGAAATTTTGAATGCTGCCAATGCGGCATTTTCGAATCTGATACAAGTGCAGTTATTGATACAGGAAGCAGCCAACTAAGTTTAAACAAAGATACAAGTTCAAATAATACTTACGATAAAAGTGTAAATATTATTGGTGATAATTGCACAAATTGTTCTATTACAGTTAATGTATTTCAAAAATAAAATACCTACCATAAACAAACATTTATTTCCTAATTTCTTAGAAAAAATAGTATATGCAACTCGCGGATGAAGAAATTTCAACGGCTCGAGTTTCTTTTTCGCACTCGCTCGTTGCACCCGCTCGTGTGAAAAAATCACTCTCGCCGTTGAAATTCAACTTCATCCACTAGTTCCATAATGTACTATTTGTGGGGACGAACCAATTATAATTATAATATTCCCAGCAGGTCAGGTAAACGATTAGTAGAGAAAAACAAAACAATATTTTTGAGTATTTGGGTTAGAAGTAATTGCAAAAAGTAATTGTAAAAGTGACTGAATTACTCAAAAAAAAAAACGTTACAATTACTCATTACTTGAAAAGGAATTGAATTACAGTAATGAATTACCTGTAATTGAATTACTTCCAACCACTGATCTATTGTCAGTTACTAACAAAACTATTAAGAATTATTTTCTGTGCAATCGGTAGTAGTCTAACCCAAGGAAAATACAAAGGAATGTTAAAATTGCACAACATATTAATTACATTGAGACACAATTTTGTAACATTCGAAAATTATGTTGCATTGCAAATCTTATCAAAAACTGTTGTTTCTTGATCAATTTTACGATCTTTACCTCTTTCCTGTTATACCTTAGTTGTTGATTTTCATACATAAACGTAATCCAGAAATTATCTTTCGCTTTGTAAAGTTTTAAAAGTTAGGCTTAACTACACAAACTATTTGCATATGTAATTTTTCAGTTCGTAAACTCTGCTTCCCCGCATAGTCGGTACTTTTTGAACAGTGGTTATGACTAGCCACGTCGTGTTGTACATTTTAGTATTCCGGTTCTCACCTGTTACAACGGATCGCACAAATTCATGTCGCTGTAATCATTTTATGTTTGTCTTTATATACCGTATTATTTTTTAGTTGAGTATTTGTTGTCATTAATCTGTGAACATATCACTTGTTTAGCATATCAAATGAAATTATTTGAAAATTTACGTTTACTCTGACGAAAAGAATACGAGTAACTACCAGTTTTTCGAAATTGACTTTTTTATTATTATTTTTTTAAGTGGAATAACGTATCTGTTAAGTCTATATTGTTTTTCTGACGAAACTGAATTAAATCAATTCGCACATTAATTAGTTTTTAACACGTACAGATGATCCTCTATGTTAAATTAAAATTTTGTAACACCCTCAAATTTTTCGTAGGACAAATATATTGATCATCGACTTTATGTGTAAATAAATTTGAATCGATGTTCTGTAACTATAATGTTAGTCTCTTTACAAAATTTAGGGAGCAAACTGCAAAATTCCATTTTAGATTATAATAAGTAAAATTATGTAACAGAATTTTGAGATAATATTTTGAAGTTTTGATGG